ATGTCGTGAGTTTTTGATTGCTCAAGTCGTGAGGCTTAGTCAGCATGATCCTCTTCGACGAGTTGACGTTTCTGACACTCTGGAACCCATCAATCACGAGATCACGTCGTGAGCATGGTTCCCTCACGTCGTGAGGCTAAGTCAGCCTCGAGTTTTGTGTCCCAAACTTGTAAAACCCGTAACATTCGCATACGAGCTCCGATTTCGACGTTCTTTATAAGTACGCGTAGATGTGAAAAGGCTCTACAACTCTCGTTTAGACTCCATTGGCTAATTTTGAATTTACTTTTTTATTATATTCTTTTTAACAGGTCGGGCCTGGAAAAGTTCGTTTAAATCCCATAACTCCTTCATATGTTGTTTATTTTCGTCAGACTTTTTACTGTTGTACTCCTATTGTCGGGGGCTTCAACTTTAATTTAGGTTGTGTCGGCTAAAGACCACTCGATCTCTATTTCTAGTTTTTACCTGTTTATTGCTAGGTCAGAAACTTTGAGAAGTCATAACTTCCTCATACGAAGTCAGATTTGGGTGTTCTTTTTATGTATGTTTGCATTTTATTGATATCTATGACTTTCATTTAGATACCTAAGGCTAAAAAGTATTTTACTGAAATTTCTCGTTTTATGTTTAGCAACGCTTTACCGGTAGTGTTGCGAATCTTTGATTCATCATAACTCCTTCGTTATAACTCGGATTTTAGTGTTCTTTATATTTTTGGAAATCTTATCATGATATCTACCACATAGTGTACTCAAAAAGAGCTTTTTAAACATTTCATTTTTGATGATATTCTTATTACTTCACAAAGAGATAACAAGACTCGATTTTTAGACATTACATTGACCTGAAATAACGGGTTGTTACATAATCCCCCCGTTAGAGGAAATTTCATCCCAAAATTAATTACAAAAGAAGTGCCAATGGACTAGGGAAGATATGAGGGTACTTTTTTTGCATCTGATCTTCTCGCTCCCAAGTGAATTCAGGTCCGCGCTTAGCGTTCCAACGAACCTTCACTATTGGTATGCGACTCTGTTTAGTTCGTTTGATTTCCCTATCCATGATCTCGACGGGTTCTTCCACAAAGTTAAGATTTTCGTTAAGTTTGATTTCGCCGTGTGGAATCATAAGAGTTTCATCAGACAAACACTTTTTCAGGTTCGATATGTGGAACACTGGATGAACTTTGTTAAGCTCGACTGGAAGTTGAAGTTTGTAGGCCATTGGACCAATCCTTGAAGTAATTTCAAAGGGTCCAATGTACCTTGGATTTAGTTTTCCACGCTTCCCAATGCGTATCATGCCTTTCTAGGGTGAGACCTTCAGTAGAACGCGGTCACCAACCTAGAATTCCAAGGGTTTTCGTCTTTTGTCGGCATAGCTCTTTTGCCTATCCCTAGAGGTTTTCAAACGTTCTCTAATCTAGACGATCTTTTCAGTTGTTTCCCTAATGATCTCCGGACCGGTGAGAGTGCTATCAGGGACTAGACCTTTTGCTAACTGCGTGTCGCCCACTTCCATCCAGCACAGAGGTGATATGCACTTACGGCCGTAAAGGGCTTCAAATGGAGCAGTCTTGATACTAGTATGATAACTGTTGTTGTAAGAGAACTCGACTAATGGTAAGTGAACATCCCACGCTTTACCAAAGTCGATCACACATGCTCGCAACATGTCTTCTAGAGTTTGGATCGTTCTCTCAATCTGTCCATCAGTTTGTGGGTGGTAGGCTATACTCATATCTAACCTTGTTCCCATGGATTTTTGCAACGATTGCCAGAATCTGGAAGTGAATCTACTGTCCCTATCCGATATGATAGACATCGGCACTCCATGAAGTCGCACGATCTCTCGGATGTAGGTTCTTGTTAGCCTTTGCATTTTATCACTTTCCTTGATTGGTAAGAAATGAGAAGACTTGGTTAGTCTGTCGATGATCACCCAAATGGTATCATGTCCACCCTGAGTCTTGGGTAGTTTTGTTATGAAGTTCATGGAAATTTGTTCCCATTTCCACTCAGGTATTTCGGGTTGATGGAGTAGACCTGAGGGCTTCTGGTGTTCTACTTTTATCTTGGTGCAAGTCAAGCACTTGCTCACATAGGTAGCAATTTCTGCTTTCATGTTTGGCCACCAGTAGAGCTGTTTAAGATCCAGATACATCTTATCTGAACCTGGGTGTACGGAGTATGGAGTCTTGTGTGCTTCGTTCATAACTATATCCCTGAACCCACCAAACTTTGGTGTCCGGATTCGGTTCATGAGGTAGCGCACTCCGTCACTTTTGATATCTAAATTCTTGTCCATCGCTCTAAGGGTTTCACCTGTCACATTTTCAGGTTTCAAGGCTTCTATTTGAGCTTCCTTGATTTGTGTTGACAGGTGCGAATGGATTTATATGGTTAACGACTTCACTCTTCGACCAGAGTACTCCTTACGACTAAGGGCATCAACCACTACATCCGCCTTTCCGGGATGGTAACGAACCTCACATTCGTAGTCATTGAGCAATTCGACCCAACGTTGTTGTCTCATGTTTAACTCCTTCTGGTAGAATATATATTGAAGGCTGTTGTGGTCTGTGAAGATGATGCACTTGGTACCATATAGGTAGTGCTTCCAGGTTTTTAGAGCGAAGACCATAGCTCCAAGTTCTAAGTCATGAGTGGTGTAGTTGACTTCGTGTGTTTTCAGTTGTCGGGAGGCATACGCAATAACCTTTCCTCGTTGCATTAGCACACATCCCAACCTTTGATTCAAAGCATTGTAATACACCACAAAATCTTCGATCCCCTTTGGAAGAGAAAGAATGGGTGCACTGCATAGGGCCTGTTTCGGAGTCCGAAATGCGGCATCTCGCTTTTCTCCCCAGTTGTAGGTCACACCTTTCTGAGTTAGGGAGGTAATAGGCTTTGCGATGCTGGAGAAGTTTTGAATGAACCTTAGATAATAACCAGCAAAGCCTAGAAATTTGTAACGCCCGTGTTTCTGGGCTTGCCATTTTTAGCAATGTAGTAGTCTAGGTTAACCTTTGTAACCCAATTTGAAATAATCAGAATGTATTATTTGTGAATTATGTGTTTTATACTTATCTGCTTAATTATGTGATTTGATTTAATCAAGAATAAACATAAGCGTAAAAATGAAATGTTATATAAACCCGATATTGATGCACGAAGATGTAGTAGTAGAGATGAGGTTTCCGAAAATATAAAGAATGCCGAAATCCGAGTTATAACGAAGAAGTTATGACCTGTCGAAGCTTCGCGACAAAACCGGTGTGGCACAGCGTGATGTAAATAGTGAATTTACGAAGGAGTGATATTTAGCCTTAGTGATCAACACGAAAGACGTAGATAATATTCAACCGAGAGCGTGCATAAAAAAGAACGCCTAAATCTAACTTCGTACGAGGAAGTTATGATTTTTCGAAGTTTCAGCTTAGTAGTAGACAACCCAATAGTTCGAATTGAGATCGAGCGAGTTTTAGCTGAAACATTCTAAATGAGAATCGAAGATCTCGTTGATGGTAGTGGAACGACAGAAATAGGGACAAAAACGGATGCCAGACGAAGAAGTTATGAATTTCTAACGAAGTTTTTCTGTCCCGACCTACTAAAAATAAATAATAAAAAATAAATTCAAAATTAGCCGACGGAGTCTAAACGAAAGTTGTAGAACATAATCTAACCTACGTGTGGATATAAAGAACATCGAAAACGGAGCTCGTATGCGAAAGTTATGAATTTTTGAAGATCGTGGCACACATACCAAAGCTTATCCGAAGTGTACGCCCAGTGTAACCAAGATTACGCCCAGCGTACTGAGTATGCCCAACGTACTTGGAAATTACGCCCAACATAATACCAGACCCAACAGCCTATAAATAGAAACCGATATCATCCATTTTTGTTGCCATTTTTTCTTCCTTTCTCTCTAAGTTTTGCATCGTTTTGCATGCCAATTATATCCCGAAGCTCCGGTATCATTCCCGAGTCCCGAAGCCCCGAGGATCCCGAGAAGTGAGAATCCCGAGTCGAAGCTCTGCCCGCGAGGAGCCCGGTTTTTGTGAAGATCTTCCAGATCTACTGAAGAATACTACTTCTGCAAGTTGTAGTGCTTTCTGATCATCTTCTGATCAAGTGAGTGTATAGTCCCTTTCAAATACACGATATCATACAAGTAATCGTTGAATGTATTTAAGAATATGGGTTACGTGAGGTATTAATATTACCTTCTAACACATAGACTTATATGACTCTCCTTGAAATTTCTTGTTACGTGTTTACGTATTACTTGCTATTTGGATGGAGTATTGAAAGACCATGTTATACAGTTGTTCTTTTTTTTTTTTTTTTTTTTTTTTTTTTTTTTTTTTTTTTTTAAAATTATGTATAAAACATGTATGTTTTTATCTACTAATATGTTGGGTAGAACATGGGTAGACAGTTGGTGCGCAATGAAATAAATTGATGAGAGGCCTCATTGTTGCTGTCACTACTAGAAAAACAGCCTTTTACGACGCTCATTGCGCGTCGTAAAAGGCTCAAACGACGCGCAAATGCGCGTCAAGGAAGGCCCTGTCATAAAGAGAGACGACGCGCATTTACGACGCTCATTTACGACGCGCAATTATGACGCGCGTTTACGACACGCAATGCGTATCAAGAAAGGCCCTGTCATAAAGGAAGACGACACGCATTCGCGTGTCGTAACCTTACGACGCGCGTGTTAATGACACACATTGCATATCAAGAAAGCCCCTGTCAAGAAAGGCTATGTCATAAATGAAGATGACAAACATTTTTGCGTATCATAATTGTAAATGTTAAAAAAAAAATTATTTATGGATTTACTTATTTTCAAATTAAATTTGTATTTAATGTTTCATAATAAAAAATAAAATATCATATACAAAAAATAGAATCCATTGAATAAATTTAATGCCATACAAATAATCGTTCGAACGACTAAGGGGATCCAATTGTACATTGTTATTAAGAAAATGGAAGTATATTGTTATAGTTAGAAAATAAATGAGAGTACAATGCGCTATGTTTGGTTCCTCTCATATAGTTTCCATCTTCAAGATTGCTATCCAATAAGCTTTTAGTATTCGCATGTAGAAATTCCATTGCAAAATGCACACCTGAGAGCTCACGTCCTGGAACAGGTAGGTCTCGTGGCTTTGTTGCCCGAACTGCTAAAATAACCGCATCATTCTCTTCGCAAAGGCGTTCAATTGAGTACACCGGATCGCTTCCTAATTCCAGGATAGAGGAACTGCAAATATTATTACAACTCATTGTTTACCAACAAAACAAACTATATGATTATGATTACCTACCTACCAAATTGGGCCGTAGCAATCCAGTATTGGGATTTTGTTCCTTCTCCAGTTAGATTTAAGCCAAGTGTGGGACTACTGCTTGCAAGAATGCAATGTTGAGGGCAATCGCAAAAACTGGACCATGGTGTTTGGATCACAACAACAAACCTACATACACAAAACACAATTTTAGTATTCTGGAACCTATTAAGGATATCACTCATCGTAAGAACTATAAAAGGATGAAAAGTTTTTAGGAAATCATAGGGACTTACCGAGCTGCAAGGGTCATCCATGTGCTGCTCTTTCTGCAAACTACACCACACATTTCCGAATTAAATCTGACAGTAAGGTGACTGACTATGCTACAAAAAAATGAAAAATTAACTCCTTTTTATCTTTATCACAAACTATTATGTGAATCCGATATGGTTGTATCTTTTTATTCCATATGCAAGTACCCAACAAAGATTCACATAACAGCCATGGATGGCAACAAGCAGGGAAGCACAACGGTATTGATTTTTCAACAAAACCTACAAGTATATGCACAACTAAGAAACCAATAAGTTAAATAAACCTAATCTTTTCAGAAAGTTTTATGTGAAACTGGCATGAGGCTTTTACCTTTTACCATGAAAAGATAATTGAATAAAGGATTTTCAACAGAAGTCACAAAGGGCTTACAGGGTAGTATAATGCACTTACAGTTGTGTTGGTCAACGGCTTAACAATGTGGTAGTATAATGCAGTCAATGTGCCCCCCTTGCCATTCTTGTTACAATATTTAATTAATTAATCATCAACAAAATTACTTTAAAAGATTAATTTTTTATATAACAAAATACACATCGGTTCATCCGGAGTCTAAGTCACGTCCAGATAGTGGCCTTTCAGCTATCACATAACTTGACCCATGTTATATAACAGGTAACATTCTTTGCATCTCTCCATCTGTATATACATAAACACACACACACACACTTATACGTTATATGTAAGTTGTAACATATAGTCCCTGAAAGTGAATTCTTGATTATCAGGTCCACTTTCATCTGTATGGAAAGAATGGTGCATTGAATTTGGAATTGAGGCAAATGATATTCTTGCTGTTCCATATGATTGGAGATTATCACCATCAAAGCTTGAAGAATGGGATTTGTACTTCCACAAGATAAAGTTTGTATTCAGTTATTATATGATCTGAATCATAATAATTTTGAAACCCACATATTATTTTTTTTTAATTTCTTTGCAGACTTACCTTTGAAATAGCTCTGAAGAATGCCCCATTTACTTATTTAATAAGGTCGTTTTATGGACACAGGACTTGAAATCAAGAATAAGGTTCCCTCACCACTTTACAATCACACATTCGCCACAATTCTGGTGGAATATGCTTCTGCAGTAAGATGAACATGATATCATGAGACATTATGGAGTAATTAAGTTAAGTAGAAGAATTAATAATAAACTATGCAGCTTTACATGTCAAATTTAACATTTTTACCTGGACTTGTTCAAGATGTGATGCCTTTACCACGATCTTGGCTCAGTTTATATGAAAACTGAAAAACAATATTTTTCAAATTATGCTGATTTTGTTACTATCTTGAATCAGGGTTTTGAAGTATTAGAGCTAATTATTGATGTTGAGAACTATCTTCAGGCCTTTGTTGGGGTTGCAGATGATCTGGATGCAATTGTTATTGCATTCAGAACTGTTCCCTTAGAACCTGAGTTTAGTTTCATCACCATCATCCAGTTTAGATACATCAAGAAAGTTTGCAAAAATCTGAAAATACAACAAATTATGAGGTTACATACACTCTAGTTATTTTTACACTTAGAAGGACGATTTATAGGTCTCAGGCACATCAAAAACTTGCTTGAATCACCAACAATGCAAATACATACCAAGAAAAATCATTTGTTTAGACTCTTCCATTGGTCCCTGCAATCGTTGAAATGATTTTCTTGCACTGCCCTGTATCAACATACAAAAACCAACAATCATAATCATACATATATATATATATATATATATATATATATATATATATATATTAACATGTATATTGTATATATATAAAAAAAGAAACTGAATATTGCCTCTGGAATGCCGAGTAAAGTAGAGGGATAAGGCTGAGAGCTCCCTGAATCTTTAGCACTATGCGCCCCATCAACATTATTTCAATCCATTAATATTTTATGCCACTCTTTGTATTCTTTTGACTTGCGAAAAATGCACTGCACAAACATGTAACAAGCCAAACTTTTAAAATATATTTAAAAAAAAATTAAAAGTTCTCCTTTAACAATTTCCTTTCTAAAGGAATAACCTGATGCAGGAACTTTGATTATTCATCATTGATGTATTTGAGGTTGTAGGAACATAAATGTTTTCGGTTCGAGAAGAATCAGTGGTGCTACTCCCATAACCATCACCTGCAAAGTATACGTATTAAGTACCCCATCAACATTAAAGAGGATACTAAAGTGACAAAAGCAGAGAGAAAGAGAGAGAGAGAGAGAGAGAGAGAGAGAGTACCTGGTGACATCTGTTGTTGATGGACATTCAGAACAGTCCCATAATGAGAAGGTGTCTCATTTTCTCTGTGACATTTGAAAATCCATAAGCTTTGTGCTGTAAAGTAGACCTGATTCCCCCACCCATATGGCTCCTAAGGCTATGTAATATGCAACTATTCTGGCCACCAACTTGGTGCTTCTGGTTTAGTGGCTGAAATACCACTGTTGAGTCAATAGTCGATAGCCCAACAAAATTGTTGGACATATCTATTTTCATGTAAGACTGATTAGTATTACCATTATTAAATCCAAGAGTAGGCATCATTCACCATTCATAGTCCATAACAAAGAGATCAAAACCCTAACTTATTAATGAAAATAGACAGAGAATCAAAATAGTAAACATGTGGATGTGTGTGTGGTGCTGTGTGCGACTGTGAACAACTATCATAATGGGATTAAGAATTAAAAAAGTAGGGGAGATGGATGTCTCACCTGAGACATAAAAAAAAAGAGAATAACGGAGATGGAATGGAGCGTACCTGAGATGCTTAGAGTGTAGAGTTGGGGATCAAGGAAAGAGAAGGAAATCATGATTAATATCTGTATCGCTTTTCCAGTTAGGGTTTTACAAAGGAGAATACAAGAAGAATCAAAATC